CAGGGTTGGGAATTCCATGGTGTCCACTCAGCAGGAAGATGCTGCCAAGTTCCACGGGAAGAGTCATAGATAAGCCAAAAGGTGAAGAGTTGGGCCATCGATGCCACCTTCCATAAGGTGCAAGTATGAGTATGCGTGTTTTTTGAACAAGTGAATAAAATTTTTTGAATGAGTACAAACAAATTCAGGATGCTGGAGATTACTGTGTCAAGCCAAGCCCTAACTGTGACCACCAGGGTGGCTTATCTTCCCGTGTCTGTGACCCTTTTACTGATGATGGTGGAAAGCAGCTATTAGAAGACCATGCAGACCAAAAAATCATTCTCCAGCTCCTTCCCAGTTCCCTTTGGGGTCCCTTCCTGGCTCCCCTTCCTTTCTCTCTTCCTGCTTCCCAGAACCTAATTCAGTAGTTTGCACTCTTTATGCAAACCAACTGCTGCTAAGATTGTGGCTGTTCTCTGGGTGTATCTACAGATGTTGAGTCTGGGTGGGAGGAACCACATCTGGGGGGTATGTTTCTATCTCCTTTCATCACAGAGAATTGTTTGATTGCTTCTTAAGTTGAAGTACACAAAATGTGTCCCTTAAGATTATAATAACTATCAAAAGAATTGAAAACAGATGGTTGAAGGTGAGGTCACATTAGTGATAAAGTGTATGAGGAGGACATTTTCTTTACATGTTATTCTCTCTGGTGTTGCAGGAAAAATTTATATATATATATTTGTAATCTGTTTTTGAAAGGATTTAGAGCCACAGTCCGCAACATTGCCTTCTTGTGTGTGTGCTTGTGAACCCTAGAGAGATGGAGCTTTGCAGGTGGGATATCAGGCATGGGCTGTGGAGAGAGACCAGGACCTTACCTGGCTCCATCTCAAATCCCACCCTCTGAATGTAGCTTGGCTACCTGAGTCCAGAAGTGTTTATCTAGAAAAGGAAAGGAAAACACTTCCTCCTTCCTCACTACAATCCATGAAAGAGACCATGAATGAAGTTAACATTCTTCTCTGCTCATCTAGAATAAAATGTCACTGGGTGAGTAAAAAAGCGATTACACTCAAGCCTGAATGAACAAACTATTTTGGCAGATGGGAAAGTCTTGTTGTACTACTGATTTTGGGGTTATTTCCCTTGTCTTTCCATTTCTTCCTGCCTCCTCCGGGCTTCCTGTGGGCCTGGGTTTGCATAAAGAGTGTGTTTCGGGGAGCACAACCTGGAAGGTACCATCCTCTTCGGCATTTGCAGTTTGGTTTTTATTTATTTTTTGTTTGTTTGTTTTTTGGTTTTTTTTTTTGGTTTTTCTCCGGTACCGGGAACCGAACTCACAACCTTGCCCTTGCCAGGCAGGCGCTTTTGCCGCTGAACTAAATCCCCAGCCCCCGCAGCCTGGTTTTTAAATGTTGCTGTACGCAGGGAGGCGCAGAAGGAGAAAGCCTATGTGTTGAGATGGACTTTGGCGGGGAAATGCTTTTTACAGCTCTCCCCCGAGCAAGGCCCAGATAAGTCTGTTCTCGGTGTATTTCTGCTGCAGGATGATATAGGTGGAAGATAACCCGCCTCTAGTTTTACTTTGCATAATAGCTGGCTGGAATCCTTTCTCTTCTGAGTCGCTCTCTGAGGGCAGAGCTGATCATGAATACAGTGGTTTTCTCCTGGGAACTGACTCATTCCATCATCCAGAAGCTGGAATTCCTCAGTTCCTTACTTACTGCTGAGACGGAAAGCTGGTGTTGTGAACACACTCCTACGTGTGCACATGATTGTGTGCATGTGTATTGTGTGTGCTGAAGTGAGAACACTCAGGAGAAAAACCTCAGAGCCAAACGACTCTTCCAAAGAGCATCATCTGCCTTGTGCTCCTGCCATTTCAGACACAAGGCACAGCACAAACCGTAACAATGAAAGCTCCAGCCCCTGATACACAGAAGACAAATAACCAAATGCCTCAAAGTCACCCCAACCTTGAGGCTGGTAAAAATGGGCCTGGGGGGTGACCTTGAAACTCATGGCTTGGCAAAAGCTTTCTGGGACGTGGTCGGACAAGTCCTCCAGCCCTGGGTTGGTTACTGCCCTCACCAACCTGAGAACCAGGGCTGAGAAGATGGTTTTGCTGCAGCCCGGTCCCAGCTCCCAGCCTTGCCTCCTGCTGCACCTTCTGCTTTGCAGGGGTGCTCAGTGGATTGCATCCTCTGCCCATTAAAGTAAATAGGGCTTTCCTGAGAGCACAACTTCAATATTTCTGCAATTGTGCCATAGCCAGCTAATGTGTAACACTGTAGTTTAATAGTCTATTAAAACACAGCACTGCACATTAAAATCTCTACTGTATCGCTGCAGATCTACTTCACAAATGCGAGGTCCCCAGAAAACACTATGCACTTGCCTCGAGATGCTGAAACAGAACAGGGGAAGTCTCCAGTGGCAGAGAAATTTAAAGGGGAAATGGGATGAGGAAAAGGACAATAAACACCTCCATATGCCCTTCCTGTTTTCCCCCGGTTGAGCAGCCCCTCTGCTTGGCTGGAAGCAGCAGAATCTGCTGGTGCTGTGGATTGCATCTGGAAATTCTGGAAGTTTAACACCAAATCCCTTTAGATCCAATCTCATTACTCAGATCTTTATTTGGAAGCACTTCGGTTTCCTCTCTCTCCTTCTCAGAGACAGACAGAAATCAGGAAGGCTGCCCTCAGCCGGGGAGAACACACCACAGTCTCCTCCCTCTGAAACAACTGCCAGGGTGGAAGAGGAATTTTTCTAACAGCTGTAAACCTCCACCCATATCTCCCTCCTTCAGAAACCACAACATATCCTCACATCAAAGGCTCCTGTCAGCTGCCAAGAGAAAGAACCAATAGTTTTAACAGAAATGAAGCAATAAGAATGCTGAATGTGTGGTGTAAACACCGATATTGAAAATAACCCAGATATCACCTTGGGAACTCCTTAGAAACACCTTAGACACAAGAAAAATAAAAGTTCCCATGCTGAAGTTTCTGGAGGGCCCAGGAGCAGCATTTCTGCAGGTAAGTAGGAAGAATGCCTGCTTCCGCTCTGTGGGCAAGGAAACAGGAAGACAGGGAGACAAGGACGAGACTTTGGAGGTGGGATGGTCAGCACCAAGGGCAGGGAAAGGGGAAGTGAGTTAGGAAATGAAGTTGAAAAATGTAAAATTCACACACACACACACACACACACACACACACACACACACACATCCCACAAGCTATACTTATTGCCACACTGTCCCCAGATCTCCCTCCTATGGCTGAAGTCCGAAACCTTAGGATCCTCATCCATATGATGGGTGCAATGGATGTATGCTAAGTTTGCCTCCAGCTCTGTGATTCCACATTCTCCAAGTAAAACCACACAATAGTTGAGTGTGTTTGCATGTGCATTTTTCATCATTTTATTAAATGTGGAACTGCTACTGTCTCTTGGTAAATGTTTGTTGTTTAATTAAGTGAGCTCCTGTGATGTCCATGGGGTCCAGGATGCCCATGTCTCCTGGGTGGTTGCGTGCCTTAAAGTCAGAGCTTGCTTGAACTTTCGGTGGAATTGCATTCCTCATGCAAAGTCCCAATTTGCTTATTTAAGCTAGAGGTATCTGTTCCTGGTTGCCACCTTCTATGGGTGACTATGCAAAAAAACAGCTACAGCTCTACCTCCTCCTGCTCTCTCAGGGGAACTTTGGTGTCCCCAATACTTTTCTGCATCTGGAAGGGATAGGGTGTTACCAAGCTTGTCCTGTGAATGACTTTCTCTTCTAATCTTTTGCTGAATGTGCCAGTTGAGCAGGGAGTTTCTGGAGGGCCCAGGATCTTCTCAAGTCTGTGCACGTAGTTGAACACACAAGCGGCATGTTAACTTCTGTCCTGACTTCTTCCTGTAGTTCCTACCAGTCCTGTTCCCCATATCCCAATGCTTCGACCTACTGAACTTTAATCTAAATTTGAATCTTATTGTAGTGGTATATTTTGAGTTGCCTAAGTCCAACCTGGGGCTGAGTGAATATAAATACATAAGAATTCCTTGGCCTCATTCTCCCCCTGTTGTAGGTACAGGTGTGTGTGGAAAGGAACTGGAAGATAGAACACAGAATGTCTTTGATGACTTAAGGTAGAAATGAGGGTACATTTTCCTTAGCATTTAGGTGAAATGGTATGAGTGTTATTGTTTGATCTAAAATGTCCCCCCAGGGCTCATGTGTTTGGAGATGGACCTTTTCAAAGGTGATTGGATCATGGGGTGCTAATCTCATCCATGGGGAAGTCCACCGATGACTTCCTAGCTATTGTGCTATTCTGAAGGGAGGCCAGATTGGAGGAAGTAAGTCACTGGGACCCTGCCTTTGGAGAGTCCATCTTTCCTCTGGCTCTCTTGCTCTCTCTCTGTTTCCTGTCTGCCATGAGGTAAGCAGCTTTTCTGCACCAGGCCCTTCCATTGTGTTTCTGCTTCAACACAGGTCTGAAAGCAGTCTGACCATGGACTGAACCCTCTGAAACCAAGAGCCAAAATAAACCTCTCCTCCTTTACGTTGTGTATGTCAGGTACTTTGTTCCAGCAACAGAAAGGTTACTAATACAATGACTAACAGAGACCAGAGAATGAAGTCTTTAGTGTGTGTGATGGTATGCTTGTAAGAGGAGAATCAAAGAGCCACAAACACAAAGTGAGTTCCAGAGTGGAGGGTGATGTTTCTTTCTGGTTTTCAATTGTATTGTGAAGCTCTGGGTGTATACTTAGGAAGGCTCCATGTTAGGAGATGGACAACCTATACTGAGTCTTTCAGTGGTCCAGTGGCTTTCCTATGCATTTATCTCAGGGGATTGCTACAATGATGCTTCCAGACAGGCATTGTTCATATTTTATAGATGGATAAACTGAAGCAGAATAGAATTAAGTGATGGGCCAAAGAACACATACCAGCCAGCTAAAAAAATAGCATTTCGATGCACTTCCTCCAATCACCTCCTTGAGTATATTGATGGACCACTTACCAGTTAAAAACTTTGGGCCATAAAATGATGAATAAGCCAATGTCTTCTCTTTCAGGCCTGCAACATCTGAGGGATACAGCTAGGAAATCTAGCAATAGCTGTTGTATAAAAAGAGACAAAACGGATGAGACAAGTTTTTAAAAAGCTGGCAATACCTCTGGTCACTTAGTCTGAAAGACTTCAGGGGAAAGGGGAAGATGAGAATTAGCATCAAGTCTACTTGCTACTGGGTCCTGCTCCAGCCCTTAGTCTTGAATGATGCAGATCCTCAGGTAGATTTTCTCATGTCCCAAGAGTGTTCCAAAGTTTCCCACTGGCCATGTCCCTCACCTTCAGCTAAACCAGGCCCAGTAGGAAGAAGGCAGGCTGGAGGGTACAGAAGGGAGAGAAGGGACGCCCATGCAAAGGGGGAGGGAATCTTCCTAGGTGAAGGGATAAGGAGTTGGGGTGGGAGCCAGAGCTGATCCCTCCTCGGCCATCTCCCCACAAGACCGATAATTAGTTGTATTATGTGTGCCTCTGTGTAAAGAACTCCCAAACTGCAGAAGGGAGAGTTACATCCTCAGACCCTGGGAGAGGGGTTTAAAGGAGGAATTGTGCACCCTTATCTGCGCCCCCAAGCAGTGAGACTGATTGATGTTATTAAAGTTCCAGAAGAGTCTCTGCTGGAGCATTTGTGGTGGTAATGGGGGGGCGAGGTGGCAATGGGAGGAGAGAAAGAGAAAGAGAAAGAGAGAGAGGGAGAGAGGGAGAGAGAGAGGCAGCAAGCAGTTTGGGAAATGCTTGCTGATTTTCTTCTCAAAATAGTGCACGTGGGAGGGGTGATAAGTGGGGACTGAAAAGACACAGTGTGGAGGAGCTCATGGCTGCTGCCCAAGACAGTGCGGGGTGGGTGCTGTCTAAAGACCAAGCCCTGAAGGCTGTTTGTTACTTTCCATGCAAAAATTTAGAACGGAGGCTCCAAGTTGGAATAAGCACATTAATGCAAAGTCTCCTCCCCCAGGCTACTTGTTAGGTTGCTAGCATAAGATGGGAGGACAGTTTAGGAGTTAAACCTTTGGGTTCAAGTCTTCATCAGCTACGTAAGCTTGGGGACTCCTCTAAGGACCTCTTTCATCTAGATTGTCCGTCAGGAACATCACAGTATTGTTATGAAAAGACCAGAGCTAGCGAAGGCGCCAGCCCTTTGTACACATTGACTTGCACATGAGTAATATGTTAATTTATTACAACTAAAGTTTAACTGTTAGAAGTCTAAAATCCCTCATAGGCCAGTTTAAACAGACACTGAGATCTTGTGTGTGTGTGTGTGTGTGTGTGTGTGTGTGTGTGTGTGTGTATGGGGGGGGTACTGGGAATCGAACTCAGGACCTTGCACTTACCAGGCAGGTGCTGTGCTGCTGAGCTACATCCCTCACCAGCCCTGAGATCCTGCCCCATCAGCCTTCCTTGTAGTTGACTTCCAAGTGTCCAGCTCACAAGCGGGGCTCCTGAACACCCTAAGCAGGTTTCCCAAGGAAATCCCTCCCAGGAGGCCAGTGTGTTCAACAGACGGAGCTGGAAAGCTCTGCCCTGTAAATAAACAAGTAAACAAGGCCCTCTCAGGCTGGAGATGAAACAGCTGGAGTGTAGTGTTACTTCTCCTGCCACACAAGACAGACTGGGTAGCAGAATACCCTTAAAGGGGACTCTGATGTCCTCCCTGCAAAGAAGAGGGGCTGCTCCTACCCTTGTGCCAGGAAATGGGGGTGCCCCATATCTATCTTCCACCCTCCTCACTCAGGTGCACAGTCCACCCTGAGGACCAGCAGAGAGATGCTAGAACATCAGGCACCATGTTGCCATCTCCATGAGCTTAGAAGAGCAGGTTGGGGTGCTGACCTGCGCTCCTCACCCCAACATGGCGGCAGGTTTATGAGCACTCTTCTCTGTGCATTTGTTCCTGTGTCCCTCTCTGAGTCCTTAGCTCCCAGCAGGGGTGACCCTGACACCCAGCATTCCACCCTCATCTTCCCTCAGTTCTCTCAGCCCCTAGGTTCCAGAGACACCAAATGCAAGAGCACAGCCAGCCCCACCTTGTCCTTTCTTCCTGGGCAGGCTCTCCATGCTCCTTAGATCTCCTTGGTGTCCACATGCCGCATGCCTTCCTCCTGTGTGCCTCCCCATCTCCACCCATGACCTCATCTGTGGAAAGAAAAGGATGCCATGCATGGCACTGGGACATGAACCTTACGTTCCTTTTCAGATTGCCTGAGCTGTACCAGCTTCCTCCTGTTCCTCCTCCTCCTCCTCCTCTGCCTCCTCCTGTCCAGCCCTCCCCTACGTGTCCTCCTCCTTTGTCACCTCTTTTATCTCCTCCTCATTTTCTTATTAGGGTTTTTACTTTTCCACTTTAGCCCTCCACATTTTTTTAAGATGGCAAAGGCAGAATTTATCAGCCTAATCACAGAAAGTAGGCAGACTGTTGTGGTGAGGCTTTGCAGTAGCGGAGGGAGACTGAAGTTAGTGTTCTGCCCCCTTCCTTCTGATGTGAGCAGACGTCTGCCATAGGAGTAGTGGGACCTTGTTTCCTGAGATCAGAGCCTGAATTCCATAATCTGGAAGGGTGGAGGAGCTGCTCCTTTGGGAATGAAATGTAGCAAATAGGAGAGGAGAGATGGAAGGGAGGCTGGGAGCTCAGTCCCCCTCCTTCATCCCTCTCGTGTGCTATTCTGACACATGAGGTCTGTTGCTTCTTGCAGCCTTTCTGGAGAAATCCCTTGTGTTGAGTAAACACGTCTCCCAAGCCCCTAGCAGTCCTTCTTGGGTAGCCCTGGCATGAGCTTCGTGTGAATCCCTTCTTACCTTGACCTCTTACCTTTGGCCTTCACCCCAACATTGTACCTCCTACTTCTTACTCCTTGCCCCTTCACTGCAGTGTAGAGGACCGGGACCAACATGGCCACTTCACTGTGAGAACAAGACACGCTCTTCCATCTCTTTGGAGGGCTTTAAAGCATCTCTAATTCAGACCTTTCTGTTTGTTTAATCACTAAAGAAAAGATGATAAGAAAGAAGAGAAGAACTGAGTTAAGGGAGAGACCAAAGCTCCTCCCTTGCCCCAACAAGCATGCACCATAGGACCCTTTTTTCCTGGAAAAGAAAATCTGCTCTTCTTCTATATGCAGATTTCCAAGCATTTTGCCAGCAGAGCTCAGAACTCTGTAGGAATCGTGGTGGGCTGGGACTTAGGGAGACCGGCTTGGCAAGACTTCTATGCCTTGCACAGCTTGAAAGGGCTCCTTTCTGTCCACTGCCTGAAAACTTCCCCTAAAAGAAGAAATCATAACAGGGACAGCGCAGCTATGGAAGACTTCCATTCTCTCTCTTTTTTAAGACAATCTAATCGATGAAAGGATTTAGAAAAAATGAACTGTATGGCGCAGAAGGGGTCTTGAGATGGACTTTTTAGCTGCATTGCTTCTGTCATGGTGGCTTACTTTTATTTGCCTTTTGAAAGATGGGGCTGTGTGAATAGCAGCCAGTCACCCCCTTAGCCAGGCTGAGAGGCAGAGCTGGGGGAGGCAGAGGGGCACTGAGGTGGGCTATCCTCTTGCCTCTCCCACTCTAGCTTTGGCTCCACCTGTGGCACATGAGGTCGTAACAGGCTGCGGGTAAGCAGGGACAGAGCTGGCATGGCAAACAAGAACATCTCCTATGTGCAAAGTGCAGAAATTGCTTCGCCTTTCCTCTCTTCTGCCAGAAATGAAGATGGTACGGGGGAAGCATAGAATGCCTGGAGGTATTACTTTCCATTCCGTCTCTAGGTACTGTCTTCCTTGGGGTCCGGGAGGACTGGCAGGTGGCACTGAACTACAATGGGCCCTATGTTGACTTGGTCCAGGCACATGGACCTGAGAAAGCAATTTTAGCCAGTAAAAGCCGAAAATGTCTGTTATCTCCATGTTCACGCAGACTTAAACCCCTCAAGCTGAACAGCGTGCTGCAAACTTAACCGATTTCCTCGGAAGCCTGTCCCTCCTCTCAACCATAGCGCTGTCACCCACCCAGTTGCTCAAACCAGTGGGAGGAATTGGAAAGTCAGCTCGATTCTCCCTCCTGCTTATCCTCACATCCCATCCCCAAAGCTCTTCGGTTTTATTTTAAAGAATAGAGCATATGTTGTTTCCCTCTTGTTGCCAACTCTTTAAATGTCTTCCATTGTCCTGTAAGTTTAGGTCCAAGTCCAAGGGTCCTTAACTGAGATTTCCCAACTCTTCCTCAGGACTGTCCCTGCCCACCTTACCTACCTGTCACTACTCTGCTTGCACGCTGCTCAGTCTAGACTCCGGAGGAGCAGGACCAAGATCCCCACTGTACTGTGAGAACAAGGAACGCTCTCCAGGCCTTTGGTATGGTCCCCCTGACCTCACACCCAGTGAACATATGGTTCTTCCTGCCTGGATATTAGACTTAGGACACAGTACCCCAATGTATGGTGCTTCAGCATGTCGACTACTTAGAACTGAAGGTGACTGGAAAGTCTTAGGGGCAAAGTCTCTCTCCCGTCTCCCACTGACCTTTCTATCTTTCAACTTTCTCCCTCAAGTGGGTCAGTTCTAGTGAGAAATTAGAATTTCTCTCCCCAAAGCAAGCCATAAAACCTGGAAAGGTCACTCTCTTACCATCTCCCTTCCCTCCAAAGCTTCTCATGTTCTGCCCCATACCCAGAAAGAAGGAATGCTTTACAGAGATGCAGGAAAGAGTAGTATTGGGTCCTACCCCATTTTTGTCCAATCATGTTCTCCACAGTTACCCATTTCTTTCAATAGATTTAGAATGAAAATAGACAATTTCTCCTGAGTCTTTGGGTGTTCATTTCTGAAAGCTCCTATGCCATGTAAAGCCTTGTGAAATAAATTTGTTACGTGTTTCTCTTGTTAACCTGCCTTTTGTTATAGAGGTGACAGTCATAAACCTTGTGGTAGGTGAGGAGATGGTATTACTTTTTCTCCACCTCACTGGAAAAGCCCTTTCTTGCTCTACTCTTTTCCTTAGCATTCCTCAAACTTTGTGCTACTTATTTATCTAATTCTTTTATTCCCCTGTGCTAGTCAGCTTTCTATTACTATGACAAAATACCTGAGATAATTAAGTTAAGGAGGAAAGATTTATCTTGGCTCACAATTTCGGATGTCTCAGTCCATAGGCACTTGTCCCTGTTATTTGGGGCTGTGGTGGCATCATGGAGGGAATAGTTGTTGGGAAGCCAAGCAAGAGGGAAAAAAAGGGGCCAGCATCCTAATGTCCCCCTCAAGGGCATGCCACCAATGACTTAAGTTCCTCTAACGTGGCCCTATCTCTGAAAGGTTGCACCACCTCTTGATAGCACTCTGTGTAGGGGACCAAGCATTCAACACAGGGGCACTTGGTGACATTCAAAATCCAAGCTATAGCATCTTCACTCAACTCTCAGCTCCATAGAGGAAGGTACTGAGTCTTTTTTTGTTACCATAGTGTCTATCTCTAGCACCTAACACAGTGCCTGGCTCAAGTAGAAGCTCAGAAATATACATAGAATTTGAATGAAAGAGATTTGGGTAAAACTGCTTCGGAACTAAGAAGGCTATTTAATACTGGTGATTTTTATTTCTACTTTACATCTCACAATAAGCAGGAAGGAATATTCTATTATCATTTTAACTTGAGTGGAACTTATTTATATCTCTGTGTTGAAGCTTCCAGGCATTTGCATCTTAAGCTCTTTATTTATACCTGCAGAATGAAGGTATTTGTGCCTCTTTAAAGGAATTTCAGCCAGTAGCCAGCAGGTGGGTTCATTAAGGAAGCAGCAAAACATTCTCATCACTATTTTTATTTCTTTTTTATAGTTTAGAGTCTGGAAAACAAAGTGACAAGCTGCTGAGGCCAAAGAAAGTAGATGCTATTTCCTCATCCCCCCCTTTTTTTTCTTTTTTTTCTTTTTTTTTCTTTTTTTTGTCTTTTTGAGACAGGGTCTCAGTATGCAGTTCAGGCTGGCCTTGAGCTCACTTTGTAGCCCAGGCTGGCCTCAAACTCACAACGATCCTCCTGCCTCAGCCTCCCGAGTGCTGGGATTATAGGCATGTGCCACCACGCCCGGCTTTCTTCATCCCCTTTAAAAGATCAATCCTGGATTCTCATGGGAAGGAGACAAGTTCTGAAAGCAGCTTTGTTGCGTGGGACCGGTCAGAACTACCCTCAGACATCCTGAGATCCAAGCCCTTGTTCACCGTGGGACTTCGAATACTGACTCAATTTCCTCATTTGTAAAGTGGAGATTGAATCTCTGATCTCACAGGATTACTATGGAGATTAAATAAGATTATCTTGGGTGACTTTGCATTATCAGAACATACTCAACATCCATGACTTAAAGGAGGAGTTTGTTTTGGTTCATGGTTACGGTCCGTGGCTGGCAGGCTCTAGGGCAGAAACAGTACAGCA